GCAAATCCTGGTGCGCCGCAGTGCTCTCCCAGGTCGAGCATAAGCTCTTCGTAAGTCCACACCGCACTGCCAGGGCAGCTATGTTTCTCGGCCTACGTGTCATGGTCCAGTCCTTTGACACGCCCCAGTGGCATCTCGCGTCCGAGGAGCTCACCATCCACATTCAGCACAACCAACAGGTCGTGGTGCAGAAGTTCCGGAACCCCTGTAACCCGGACGGGCCAACGGCAACCATCAGCCGAGAAGCAGAGGAATCCAGTGCTCTCTACGACCACTACTACAGACTTTTCTGAGCACTTCGGGCTATAGGCGGTTCACTGACTCACGCAAGGAAAGTGGCACAGCCTCCAATCAGGTGTGGCACAGCCACCCAACTTGTCACAGTCAGCGAAGAGTGGCCCACCTGCCCAGAGAAACCGACGTTGCAGCATGCCAACACTCAGTTACTTGCATCATCGTTTGCTCTTTCCTGTGATCTGAGGTCTCAGCTACAACACGGCACCAGCTCTCCAGCCCGAGTGCCCTCTGCTGGTGTTCTTTGCCTATAGTCGTCCTGCGTTGCTTGAGCTTCGTGCTTGGTCTTGAGACTCTGCAAAGCATCACATGTATACCGCAGCTGTCAGTTCGAACTGTTGCTACCGGAAACAGCGGCAGGAGTATTGCAACATGCATTACAGACATGCCTTGCAGAAGCTACATTCCGTAACAAACTGCGTTTTTGCGAAGAGCACAGCTCACCACTTGGCCGCGTGTCACAGACTCTGGCCCATCAGCTACAGCTGAGACCATGGACAAACCTCCCAGTCTGGGGCCCTTTCTGGTGCTCAGCGACAGCACCTTGCAGCACATGCTGCGGGGACACACTTACGGAGTGTTCCCGCTGCTGACGGGACAGGTCTTAAGCTGTCCAGGCGCCGCCCTCAACATCTCTGCCGGCAGCGTCCCCTCCATCTTGGAGCTCCTCCACTGGCAATTTGGGCTCTTTGGGCCGCACAAATTCACAGCGGCAGTGCAGAGTCCGCCGGTGGCCTCCATCTTGGAGAACCACCTCGACGGACAAATCAACGTTCGCTTCATTCCGCTGTCCCGAAGCCTGCGCCCGGAGAAGCAAATCAATTATGACTACCTGATCGATGGCAGGGTCCAATATGGATTTGCGGACAAGAACCTGCACAACCAGGAAATCATGGACCTGGCCCAGATGCCTGGTGTAGGAGGGGTAGAATGGCTCTACAACTCCAAGAATCTCCATTTCCGCCCCGACGTCGCGGACATTGTCATCCCGGCGCTTGTAACCAGAGCCATCGAGGAAATGCGCAACACCCCAGGACTGCCTGTCCTCGTGGTAGCTGGTTGGAACGCTCGCGAGCAGGACATGCATGTCGAAATGCTCGCTGCCCAGGCTCTGTCACAATGCCGAACTGTCCGTGATCTTTCGGAGGTAGCCATGCAATACGGACATGGCCCCTGGGGAATGCGCTTCACACATCTCCCAGAATGGGAAGCCGCCCCTGTCCCAGCCCTCCTCTTCCAGACCTACGTTCACGACGAAAAGCCGGAACCGGCCCAAGTTGCGGCCAAAATGTTTGCTGGCTTCACCCGCAGATTCTGTGATGATGATGTTCTTCGGGCTACCCTGCGGCAACTCGCAGGAAAGTATGGCTCCAATCTGCTAGATCGCCTCAGCCAACCTGCTCATCGAGCAGACGTGTTCCGCTACGTCTACCACTACCAGCACGGCGGCCTTTACGTCGACATCAAATGTGGCTTCGTGGTACCTTGGGAACAGGTACTCGTGTATCTCGCAGCAGATTGGAGCACAGCTCACTCAAAGAAGGCAGGTGAAGTGGGTCACAGACCCTCCCCACCTGGCCAACTCCCACAGGAGTTCATGGTCATGGCCATAGGAGTCAAAGGAGATCACATTTTTCAAGGCATCATCTATGGCAAGCCCAGACACCCCTTGATGAGGGAAGCCATACAGCACGCCTTCAGCCGTCAGGTTATGACAGCGAAGGCAAACTTGGAATACATGACCTTCTGCAAATATCTTTGGCAGATCTTGGGTCGTGACCTTGGTCACTCCCCTCAGCCGGGATGGAATGTTTCCACCAAATTTGGCCCCATTTACCTGTTCTCGGAGCGCTGGGACAAGCGAGTGAAGAACAAGAAGTACGACAATGATGGCCACTATTTCGTGACTACCAACAACACGACCGTTGCATATACCCGGTGCTGGAAGTGGCTGAAGGGATTTCAGGGAGACCCAACCACCAAAGAACGCACAGACCGCATGCTGCAGAGCCAGCTCCCTGACATCTCCCTTGAAATCCAGTCTGACAGACCTGAAGAGCACAGCTCACCACAGCCGCCTAGGTCACAGACCATGGCAACGGCCTCATCGGCTCCCCCTCCTCCCACTCAGGAGGATATTGAAGCCTATGTGGCCGACAGCATCCAGTACAACTCCTTTGCAGAGATCATGGCTACGGTCCGTGAAACCCACCACTACAACCAAGACCTTACAGAGCAGGATGTGCTGGAGCTTATCCCTCGAGGATTAGGGCAAGTGAAAGTTTCGGGGGACATGTGGTTATGCTGCTTGCACTGCCGGAAGCACAACAGGCAGGTGCAATTCAGCACTAGCCACGGCCTTAAGAACCACTTTGTCACTCAGAAGCACAACCCAGCACTCAGTGCCACGCCGGACCCCCACACTCCTCCCCCTCCTCCTCCCCCCAAGCTCCCACAGGAAATTCCTCTTCCCCCCAGCAGTACCAGGACCAAAGGTGTAGACAAAGCAGCCGGCTTTGAGCCGCCACCCTCCCCCCCGTGCCCTTTCACTTCCTCAGCAGCTGAAAAGGTGGCTTTCAAAGCAGGCCAAGCAGAGACACCGAAGGCGGCCCCGGCGCTTCCGGTTAAGGCCCCACCGCCTATGGTGGCCACCCAATGCCCCCCGCCCTCTTCATCATCGGCAGCACCAGCTCCCCCTCCGGCGATTCCAGTTCCCCCGTTCCTTCCGCACCCCCCCAAGTCCGTCTCTCCCCCAACCCCCGCCACCCAGGCCGCTCCGCGCTCCCACACGCCCCCTCCTCCCTCTTCCCGTCCCCCGTCAGCATATGAGCCTCCGGAATCCAATGCGGAACTCGTCAGCTATGTCCCACAGCCGGCTCCACGGCTGACAGTACGTTACACACGGCAGGAGCTGGCTCAGCTGCTGAGCTCCCAGTCCCATCAGGACTGGATTCGGGCCTTAGCTTCCATCAACATCCTGGTGGCTCCAGTCATTCTTGGCGGCCTCACCAACCAGGAACAACAGACCCTTTGGTCTACCAGGATGGAGGCACTCCGAGAAGTTCCGCCGCTGTTCTCTGCCATCAAGTCCGTCAGGACGCAAACCGGCCTCACATGGGACACCGCCATGTCGGTGAGGCGGGTCCTCACAAGCGATGGGAAGGTCACCATCGCCACAGGCGCGGGTGACGCCTACCGTGAGCTGGACGCACCAACAAAGGTGCATGGCCTTATCCATGCCTGCTTCAACAAGATGTGGGACGAAAAGGCTTTTCGGCAGCACTTCCCCTCGTGGGTCGAGTTCAATATGATCGCCACCACCATAGTGGCAGTCTACAATGAGACGGCCAAATCAGCCGGACTCCCAGCTCGTGTCTTCCGGGTCAAACCCGACAAAAATGCCTACTCCATCATGAAGATGCGGATACAGCATGACAAGGGGAACGAAGAGGACAAGCGCATGGCCAAACTGGCTGCTGCTGCCCCTAACAAGCGCCCACAGATGCAGGAGGCTGACACAGAGGGCAAGCGGCAGCGCGATGGCCCCTCCTCATCCTCCTCGTCCCAGTGGGCCAGACAGGCTCGCTCATCTCAGGACGACGACTGGGACTGGTGGCAGCAGTGGTCCTGGCATGGTTACTCTCAGCAGTGGCCAAAAGGTCATGACCAGTGAGGGCGGTAATATGTCACAGACTCTATGATCCCTTATGTCACAGACTCAGGGAATTCGGCACTCTTCCGACGCCTAGCACATCTCTTCGGAAGAATGTACCCGCGTGCTAGCCTCGCTTAAAACAGCACTTTGCGCTTCAGCGAATTGCCCACATCCTAGCTGCCCAAAGTCTCACGCCACCGGAGTTGCTTCAGGTACCAGCGGTCATCCGCACATGACCCTTACGGCCTTCTGTCTTCAACATGAGTAATCCGTGTGGGACGCCACGAGACGGATACTCCAGGTGGCGGCTTCGTCTGAGGTACGGCCTAATTGTTGAGACAGGTGCACAGATGGACGCGTCTGTTCACACCAAGGTGTCGGAGAAGGAAGCTTTTTGTAGCAGTAGCAGTTGCAGTAGTATGTCAAGTTCGAGCTGATTAGAGAGACCTGAGCGATGCATGCTAGAAGCAGTTTCACGAGTGCATGAGACCAAAGGCGCCCGCAAAGCGCAGAGCACGCTCGCGCAGCGTTCAATTGAAATAGTAGTAGTAGTAGTAGTAGTAGTAGTAGTAGTAGTAGTAGTAGTAGTAGTAGTAGTAGTAGTAGTAGTAGTAGTAGTAGAGCAGAAGTACTAGTAGTAAGTAGTAGTAGCAGCAGCAGCAGCTGCGCAGTAGCAGTGGTAGTAGTAGTAGTAGTAGTAGTAGTAGTAGGAGTAGGAGTAGGAGTAGGAGTAGGAGTATAGGAGTAGGAGTAGAGTAGGAGTAGGAGTAGGAGTAGGAGTAGGAGTAGGAGTAGGAGTAGGAGTAGGAGTAGGAGTAGGAGTAGGAGTAGGAGTAGGAGTAGGAGTAGGAGTAGGAGTAGTAGTAGTAGTAGTAGTAGTAGTAGTAGTAGTAGTAGTGTTTATCGTTTACTGTTGTTGTAGCAATGCTAGTATCACGAGCATTCAACATTCGTAGAATCCTGACGACAGTTTCATCGACACGCGGGTTCCGCATCAGCTGGAATGCAGGACGACTGTTTGTATCTGTTTGTCACTGCCGCCTGTTGCAAGGCGCAACATTCAGGGGCTTCGGCTCGTGCAGTGCAACCTCACGGCGGGAGGCTTTGCTGTTGGTGTTCGCAAATCCAGGCCTCAAGAATCTTGATTGTCTTTTGCGATTACAGGTTTCCGAAGAGAGTTCCAAACATTCTAACGCTTGCCATTTCATAGAAGTGGCATGTTGGCGTTCCACACCGATCGGGCACGGCTTCGTAATGAAGTCAAGCAGCAACAGCGGAAGCATCAGATGACTTCCCACAGCAGCGAGTCAACAGAGCGTGTTGCAAGGCTGCGACCTCCAAAAGTTTGCAGGCCCAATGTCTGATCTAGAAGTCTAGGAGTCTGGGTTTTTAAGGTCTGAGTCTTGCACGGGCAGCTGCGGAGTTATGTTACAAAGCGGCTCAAGACTCTTTCTGAAAGCTGCATGCTACTGTATGTCCAGTACTCAGAGCAGCACGACGACACGTTGCTGTAACCCAGGACCGCTGGCTTGCTCAGCTGGGGCATAGCTCCTCAGCAGAACTCTTGGGAGGATTGTGTCGGTTTACGTACCCGTCTCGCAGGAACTTTGATCTTCGGTATCCTTGGTGCAAGGGAGGCTGTTTTGCAAAGTGGTTTTTCTGTCTGATGTTGGCCTTTGGCTGTAACGGATTTGTATGTCTGTACGTTTGTGCCTGGAGCGACTCTTGGATGGAACGGACCTGCGGTCGGCCCAAAGGTTGGTACCGGTAGATCCCCAGGTTGGGAATTCCGCAAGCATCTATCCCCAAGCTGTCCCAGACCTGAGCTATCCTTAAAATACCTGAATCCAGATGTTCACCTGCAGTTCTTACAAGATGATGACCCGCTCCGAGCCTGAAGTCAATGTTCGGATGTGTGGACATGGTCTGCCACGTCTGCATGCTGCCTCAGAGCAGATGCAAAAGTAAAAGCATTCAGGCAGATGGCCTTGATCATTGAGGTTCTGATAGGAGCCCGCTGTTGCGTGAGGTAAAGAGTTTGTGTTTGAGATGTCCTTAGCCCCACTTGAGGTCTTGCCATAGTTCAGTACTACTCGTACTTTGTGTGAATATGTGCCGGCACGTTGCTATCATCACAGTCTTTCCCAGGGAAGGATTGAGCAGTATCCAAGAGTGAGGGATTCCCACCGAAGTTGCGAGGTGGAACAAGCGCCAAGTGGAGTGCTGTTCGCCTTCTGGATTTGAGGCCGGTGCCGTGGCACTGCACTTGGTAGGAATGTTAGTTTTAGAAATAGAACGCAAATAGCGATAGTTGAGTGAATCAACTTGTTTCGTTCGGGTCTCTGTCAGCCACTGCCGTGACAGATTGTAAAGGAGCTTGGATACCACATAGGCGCGGCAAAGTTGCCGCTTATTTTTAGCTTTAGACAACCCGGCGCGCCTCCACACTCTGGCCGTCTAGCATGCTCCAGCTTCCCCAATGCGTCGCCGAACCTCGGAAACTGTCTTATCCTGCTTGTCAGTGCGACATCCTAAGTACAAAACAAAGCAAACTTTGGGAACCGGGTCGCCATTGCTTTAAACACCACCGAGGCATCCGAGTTATGCAGAACTAGCTGGGTTTTGTCCAAATTTCATTGTACTTTTCGGCTTCCTGCTGCACCAGCAATAGCGAATCTTGCATCTGTTCTTGGGTTCTGGCTACAAGTACAGTGTCATCTGCAAACTCTGCTTCGAAGAGGGAGCTTAGGTGTGATGGCAGCCGGATGCTTACTGCTGTACTGTGACTGCACGTCATGGAACAATACCGTTTGCATAAGCATGAGCAACAGCGGACTGAGTGTACGACCCTTGCGAATTTATTCCGCTCCGCCGTCGGTGCTTGCGCTGCATCGTCACCACACTCGCAATTATCATACCCCTGTTCTGTTTTCTGTTACTGCATATACGTGACGGCTGTCGCATACTTTCGCTCTTTATGACCTGACAGTTCGGCCGCAGGTGCAATGAGCTCACCGCGCTGAGTGCTCCTGCGATTGCCAGTGTTGCGAGCTCAGAGGGTTTTGGGCTGACGAAGGGTGTGCAGTTCAGCAAGCTGCCAAATTTGCAAAGTTCAAAATGCAAGCAGCCTCTACCTCTCCAGGGACGGGAATGTGTTGATATTGTCTGAATGAGCTGCAGGTCTTGAGATTGTCGCTGTTGAAGTCCGAGGGTTCACGAACGTCCGAGGTTTGCTGCCAGAACGGGAAGGAGTAGTTTTGACCAGGAAAGAAGCTTTCCGAACCATCACACATCAAGGAAAGCTTAGATTTCAGTCAGGCGCCCGGACAGTCGCGTGGATGTACGTTGACGGCCAGCCCTGAGGCTGAAGCAAACACGGATTATGTGCCCCGAAGCATCCTGAAAACGACGACCTCCGAGGTCATCGCTGGGGGGCTGCAGGTGCAGTGAGCGTGCTCTTGCTTCCTAGGGTGTTTGGAGTCAACATTTTGGGTCAAGCTTGCTTTGGAGGAGCTGCGGCCGTACGTAGGGCTCTAGACGTGCAACCTTTTGATTCCTTCAGTGCATCATCGGCTAAACTTCCTGCCCAGCCATGGGTCCCCTACCACCGAAATGGGGGTTGCATCCTCCCATCCCCCGACTGTGGACAGGCTTGTGATGCGGGCTGGTGAGTGGGTAGTAGCATCACAACCGACGGTCAGGCCTTGCTTCTGGACGGCAACCGGCTGCAGATAGAAGGCTTCCAGGCCCGTCATGCTCAAGTTCAGAGAGTTCAACATTGCTCTTACATGGGAGTTCGAAGGAAGTCTCTTCCGTGGCAGCGATGTAAACAGCAGGCTCCCAACTTTGCCCTAGGAGAGGTCATTGCCTGCGCTTGGACGCATGTACATACGGCATGCCAGCACCAACATTTGCGCAGCCCCCGGCTGTGTGCGGCAAATCGCCAGGTATTGTGCAATGCGATGAAGACTGCGGGGCAGAAGTGCGCCTTGAGGCTGACTTGGGAGTCTGGTTCACTGGATGTGCACAGGACGTGCAGCGAGTTATCATGAACAGCCGAGATGTTCTGCTTCCTCGCCGCAGGCCTTGAATTTGTCTGGGCAGAACGTAGAAACTCCACATGATGACACTGCTCATGAAAATCTCAAAATAATCTCGCAGCTCAAAAGTCCTGTAGTCTTCAACCTCCCACACAAGATCGATTCAAGTAGTAGCAGGAACGGACAAAGTTGCAAACTTACAATAACTGTCCAATAACAGCTAGGCCGTGGCCATCATTTCAGCATGAAGTGCCACCTCCGGTGCCTCATTTGAGGTTGAGGCCTGGCCTTGAGTCCATGCATTCCTTGCTGCGTCCACTGCCGGCGAGTGCCACGCGACTTTCCTTACTCCTGATCTTTGGTTAGTAGGGAATGGAAGAACGGTAGTAATAGTAGTTATAATTCTACCCCATTCCTCCATTCCCTACTAACCAAAGGTAAAGATCCCTTTAAAGGAACCCTAAACCCCTATAGATCACTTTAAAGTGAACCCTACCATTCCCTACTAACCCAAGGTAAGACTCTGGCGGTGGAGAGCTCGAGCTTGCAGCGCCAGGACGGCCAGCTCCGCGCCGGCATGTCGAAGCCAAATGGGAGAGTTTCCGAAAATGGGGGGTACCTTATCTTGGGGCTCCTCATAATAGGATCCTACTATTTAGGGTACTATATTAGGGTCCCCTATTTTCGGAAACTCCCAAATGCTCTAAGCTGATCCTTTCTTCAAGGGTGCAGAAGAATGTCAGCATCAAGAAGAAAGAAAACGGCAGCGACAACACTGAGATGAAATGCGCCAAAGACCACGTGGGCCGAGACAGAACGGGCACGTGACCAGAAAACATTGTAAACACGTATAAGTATAGTACAGAGTACAGACAGCCGGCGTGTCGGCTAGCACGTCTGCCGGGAATTAAGGCAACGGCAGAAACAGCAACAAGACAAGGCCGGAGGATCCCCCGACGCCGCGGAAGGGAACTGATCCACATACATTGCTGATAGCTGAGGCTGAGAGCGCTAAACACCAAGCCGGCTTGGTATCGAACGCTCGAGTCTGAAAGGAATGGCCATGAACCTAAATGGGGATGTTTTGCTGCAACAGTTGAAGAGCCGAAACGCTGAAGGCCCCCCAAGCTCTGAACTCGAGCTTCGTGCTTCGAGCCTGTACTTCGTCTTATTGAGATTGCCCAGGTAAGAAGCGAAAAATTAGGCAGTACAAAATGCTCACAAACTTTAGGGCAGGTGCTGAACAACCTGTATCTCTTCCTGGTCCTGTACTTCTTTTGCACTTGGCACGCTGTGGGAAATATCGCTGCTTCAACGAAAAGGTTCCCCAAGCATCTTCGACCGACCCAGATCCCTCGGGCGAGGCCCACGGAAAGCCAGGAGTTTAGAATGGAAGCTTTGGATGAGACTTCGTAACTTTGGAATTCAAGTTGGGTTTGGTTTCCGGCAGGACATGTGTATTCAAGAGTCTGCGGCCTTGTAGCAAGCAAGCTAGGTCTTAGATAATGTTCTGCTTTCGGTTTAAGTGATCAAATGTACTCGGTTCGTACGTTAGAATGTGGCTCGGGCATGTTAAGTAAGGCGCTTGACAAGGAACAGGCTCCTCGATTAAGGCAGGCATACTCCCAGATATCCAGAATACACCATGGACCGTGAAAGAACCCTCCAGCTTAATCCTAAGACTAATTCAGTATAGTATCCATATACCGCACTCACTCGTACGGTGAGGGCCGCTACTGGTACTGTAGATCAATAGATGTTATCTAAGTGCCTCCTCGTCCACCTCGTCCTTTCTGCTTCCATATCATTAAGTGTTTCCGGTCGTGCGCTGAACCTCGGCGGGAACCACGCGAGACATGCGCAGATTCATGTTCCTGGCCTTTAAAAATTAGTTTCGTCTTGTGTTGAACTCCTCAAGCCGGTTCAAGATTGGGTTACATACTCCCAGTGCTGGTGTCATCTCGTCCGCCATCACGGTGCTTTAACAGCTGTCCGGCTACTGCCTACCTGCTCCCTCTAATCCTACAGCTGTACTACACTACGGCAGGCAAGAAAATAACGAAACCGGCAGCAACAACCACAACACAATCATCAACAGCGGCAGCAACAATAATGGTAATTAAGAATAACAGAATGTAATATGATTGATCATTTTTATCATTCTACTGCTACTGGCTGTCACGACCACAAGCTAAACCAAAACCCTATCGAAGCTGACATACCTGGCTGGAGCAAACTACTCTAACTGCATCTACCAGGGGTCTGAAAGAGCGGAAGTGGGCCTGCATCAGCACGAGGGAGTACAAGAATGTAACATAATGTAACGAGATGAAGCCGAAGATGATATTCACGATGGTGGCGGTGACGACTCAGGTGATGGTGAAGATGGCCATGGCAGTCAGCCCGATATTGACATACTGAGCGCCAAAATGAGCAAAATGAGATTCTGATATTCACAGCTAGCGACAACATACATTTGATTGGCTGTTTTCCGATCCCATGACGGTTTGTCCCGCCGGTGCATGATGTGGCTGTAGCTATGTCTGTAACATGATCGTCTTTCACTATCGATAATGCCCAACCACTTCTACTGCGACACCATGGGTGGCCTTAGCAACTATACCACTGCACTGTGACACTGCATCCTTTGGCAGTCTCATTTTCTCCGTTGCGAACACGGCTGACACAATGTGCTCCAACGGAGTCCATCTAGTGAATCTCGTGGCACACTGTAAAATGACATCCACTAAAAAAATTGACATTTCGAGACCCTCTCCTTCATGTGCTCTGGCCTCCATTCATGCTCATGTGTATACAGGTGCAGCCCTACACGAGCGAGTAGACGGGGAGCCTGCGTCTCCACGCGCTTCTTTCCCAGGCGAGATGGGTCTCAATGTGCTAGTCTGGAGTGTGCGGGTGTCATCGCTGGGCTCGCCAGATCACCATTAACATGAGTGTCCTTGCAGGATTTGGAAGAGGGTCGGCGGGTAATGAGAGGTTCCTTCGCTGGCAAGCTTGCCCAGTTCCCCGCACTGTTGGGAGTAACAACAGTGGAGCGTCGACTGGGGTGTCCGGGCAAGGGAGAGTCTAGATCTGTGGACCAGATAGGCCCTGAATGGATCAGCATCCTGGGCCCAAGCAGTTTTCCACAGACTTTCAGCATCAGCTCATCATGGCACTCCGTGCACTCGGCGCCCTTGTGCTGATCGGTCTGCCCCTGGCCGATGGCTTGACTTTATCGCACAGCCAGGGTGGTGACACCGCGACTTGGGAACTGGAAATTGAGGGCGACCAGCTGCACGTGTCGGCTGACTGCCCGGCCGACAGATGGTGCAGCTTGGGATTCAACAAGGACAAGCCCATGATGGACGGCACAGATGTCTTCACCTTCGGTCACCATCCGGGTGTGGATCTGTCAGACTGCCATCCAACATGCGGGTGTGGCAGTACGACTTGTGGCTGCGGCACGGCATGTGGCTGCGGCTGCGGCGCGACCTGTGGCTGCGGTTGTGGGAGCAACGCGACTTGCGGTGGCTGCGGTGGCCGCCGGCTGCGAAGCCGAAAGACCTCCCCGACTTCCCCAACTGCATCTCCGTTCCTTCCCTACGAGCGCGAGCTGAAAGTCTGGCTACCGGCCCCACCGACCGAGCTGCATGTTCCGCAGAGCCCCAAGAAATCGGGGGGTGTGGTGGGCATTGGATTAAATTCGGTGCTCTTCGTCCACGAGCATCCAGGCGAGGGTATGACGTGGGTGATCGACAATTGCGGTGGACACGGCGACACCTTTGGTCACTACCACTACCATGCCCCTCCTCTTTGCCTGCTTCGTTCCCTAGGCGTGCCGGTCCCGAAAGGTGCCTGGTGGAAATCGGGAGGCGCAGAGCAGTGGGCATCTCATGGCCCAGAAGTGCAGATCGGCTGGGCCTTGGATGGCGCGCCCATCATGGCTCCCTTCAAGGACGGCGTGCAGGTCAAGAAGGAGATGCTGGACGAGTGCCACGGTGCCATCGATCCTGTCACCGGGGAGTACAAGTACTACACAGTCTTGACTCCTCCTTTCATGCCTCCCTGCCTGCGTGGAAAAGTTCTGGGTGAAGTGACAGGCTATCGTAGCTCAACCGGAGGAGTGCCATGCCAAAAGTCTCAGCGCCTCAATGAAGAGCCTTTGGTCTCGAAGCTTGAGCCGTCGGGCGGACGCTGGCTCAGTGGTATCGGCTGCCCCAGGCATGCGATCTTCGAGGATGTGAAGACCGGGCGCCCAAAAGGATGGAAGCCCAAGAAGTCGCTGAAGCAGCTCAACAAGCGCCGGTTGCACAAGCGCCGGTTGGCCAAGTACGGCACCTGCCCGAGCGGCGGCGCTTGTGGTGCTTGCGGTGCTTGTGGAGCCTGCGGGGCGTGCGGCGGTGCATTCCCATGCTATTGTGGCGCCTGCGGAGCATGTGGAGCTTGCGGAGCCTGCGGCACTACCGCTTGTGGCGCCTGCGGAGCATGCGGCGCTTGTGGAGCCTGCGGCACGACAGCATGCGGGGCTTGTGGAGCATGCGGCACTACGGCTTGTGGCGCCTGCGGAGCATGCGGCGCTTGTGGAGCCTGCGGCGCTTGTGGGGCATGCGGCACTACAGCATGTGGAGCCTGTGGGGCATGCGGCACTACAGCTTGTGGAGCTTGTGGAGCCTGTGGGGCATGCGGCACTACAGCTTGCGGGGCTTGTGGAGCATGCGGCACTACAGCTTGTGGCGCTTGTGGAGCCTGCGGGGCATGCGGCACTACAGCTTGTGGCGCCTGTGGAGCCTGTGGGGCATGCGGCACTACAGCCTGCGGGGCTTGTGGAGCATGCGGCACTACAGCTTGTGGAGCCTGTGGGGCATGCGGCACTACAGCTTGTGGCGCTTGTGGAGCCTGCGGCACTACAGCTTGTGGCGCTTGTGGAGCCTGCGGCACCACGGCTTGCGGA